AGTTTTTAAATAAGATAATAAATTTTTGATTTTTTATTTAAAAGTATCCATTTAAAATTTTATTATTTAAGTATATTAAATTTGTGATTTTTTGTTTAAGGATTAATTATTAAATAGTGATACTGATGTAGTAAAAAGTTTTTTAAAATCATAATTAATTTTTAATTAAAAATATAAAATTAACATCCTTATATAAAAAAATTAAAAATTTATTATCTTATTTAAAAACTAACCAAACTTACATATTTAACTAAAAAAATATTACAAAGTTTATATCATAATGCACCTTTTCTCCTCAAGACTTAGAACAATTACAAGAATTCATGATGAAGAAAGATAAGTAAGAACAATAAAGTGAATAGGTCAATTTCATGAACCCAATAAAGTATGGCTTTGCTTGTCTTTTTATCTTTTCTAAGGCAAAAGCCATGCCTTCAACTGCAGTTTCTGTTCTGATGGTAACTAGATGAATAATGAAGATTTGTATAATTATAGAGTATATTGCTGAACGCTAAGAAATAGCAGTTTGATCTTTAAATGAGGTTTAAAAGAATTGGATTGTGTTTGTGGGCTAAACTGACACAATTGAATCTAGTTTGGACCAAGGCTCGATCTATTCTCTCCATTGAGCCAACATCTTCTTCGTTTTTTGTGGGCATTATGAAAAAAACACAGAAAAAAAAAATCTGGTTTGATGTTTTACGTTTGATTTTCAGTCATTTAATTGCATGGACATGGCATCTGTAGTCATAGAGGAATCAATTATTTAAAATAAGATTAATTAAAAATTATAAAAAAAAAAACATTAATAAACTTTCTCCTACAGCCTCAACACAGAAAATTGAGTTCTGTTTCAATTCCAATGAAGAAATCCAGTGACCTAAAAGCAAATCCAGGCAAAACCTATTTTGAGGATGAGCAGGAAGAAGATGAACTCAAATATTCCTCTCCTGAAGAAGAACGCGATGATGATTACAGTAGTGAAGAAGAAGAAGAAGTGAGTGTCTTAAATAGATCAAAATTTATCATATTGTCAGTTTTGAATGGTTGATGTAGTGAAAGCTGATCTTTTTATATCTATGGTTAGGAGGCAGAAATTAAGCGTGCACTTGCGGATGTTACGTTTGGAGAGTTGCAGAAAGCTCGCTCTGATGGTTCTGATTCGGTTTTTCGGAAACCAAATTCAGAGAAGAAACCCAGCCGTGTTAACAAGAATAGGTATTTTGTAATTTTATTTAATAGTTTGCTTTTTATTTTCTGGGTTATGGTTATTTTCATTCCATTTTATGAGATCTTTGTGCACAATTGTGAAGGCCAATGGAGGCTAGTTGCAAGAAGCCAGTGGGTCGGTTTAGGGAGGTCGTCCAAGCTCCCAAGAAGGTAAGTTTTGATTGTGTCATTTGAGGCTTGATTTTATTGAATTTACAATTCAGACAGGGGTTGGCCAGGTTTAAAGAAGTGAACTTGTTCTTCCTTTGATGCGTAATTGAGTATTCCCTGTCATATTGGCTTTTATTTTAAAAGAATTGTGCTTACGTTGGTTAAGGTATCTAGTGCTGTAATTGTTGTCTAGCTGCCTAATTTTGTAACTTGTATTAAAATTTTTGAGTATATAAATACCAAATGATAGAAATTGGTTCTCTGAATCAATCAGACTAACATATGTAGTTAAGTCGGTTTCTGGTTTATAATTCATTCATTGATTTAGACATCTTCAAGTGTTGTTTTGAACTTTTCATTGCTATTCTTGATACTCTATTAGGTCTCTGACAATTTTTCTTGTCAATGTGGCATTATTTACTACTTTTATGTTTAATAAAACATTGGAATTAAAAAAATGGAGCTAAAAGAATCTTTCTACTTTCTTTATGATCAGGTGGTACGTGACCCGCGATTTGAATCTTTATGCGGGACACTTGATGTTGAAGGGTGAGTCTCCATATCTATATCTTGCAGCATTTTCTTAAATAATTTGCGCTGTTTTTGTTGGTTGCTTTGGGTAATTTACTTGTTTATTTTTAATGTTTAATAGAGACTTTCTTCTTCCTTTCTGGTTTGAAGTACTACCAGCAAACAGGGTCACTGCTAGTTTTCCTTAGCTATTCTAGTAATAAACATCTTGGTCCTATTTATGATAATTGCTCAATACTGTCTTTAAACTTCAAAATAAATGGTTTGTCTTTAAGGGTCAAGCTTCAGAATAAATATAATTATGACTTTTTTACTTTCTGCCTTTTGTGGATTTTGATATTTGGTTTTCTCCCAGGAACAGCATTAACATGTTTGGAGACACTTATTCTTTGATCTTGCAGGTTTAGGAAGAGATTTAATTTTCTTTTTGAGAACAACCTTCCTGCTGAGAGAGAGGTAATATTCTTGAAACTAAATTAATAATAATTTTTTTAACAGTATTGATTTTTGAACATCTTATTTTGTGTGTGATAGGAGCTTCAAAAGCAACCAAAAAAGACCAGGAATCCAAAAGTAATTGGTGAACTGAAGAACCACATATCCTGGATTGTAAGTGTTTGCTTTAAACCAATTTCTTGCTTAGTCTGTGGGCAACTTTGTAATATTATTATGTTGCATGACAGGACAAACAACTGAAGCTTGAGTCAGCAAAAAGTGCTGATGCAAAGATATTGGCTGAGCACAAGAAAAAAGAGAGAGAAGCTGCTAAACATGGGAAACAGCCCTTTTATCTTAAGAAATGTACTCTCTCTCTCTTTGATTACTTGTTTCGTTATAGTCATTTAATCATGGGATGAGCTCGGGATATTGGCTATTGGGACACTGCAGTGCATTTGTACTGACGGTGATGATGTTGAAGTACATGTACTTTACTTTTACTCTGGTCCTGGTGCTGATCTTTAGTTGTACAAGGCAAGAGATCAACAGCCAAAGCACTAAGGATTAACAGCAGCTTCTTGATGCAGTCTAAGTCACCATTTGATGCTAACTTGGTTTTTTCCCCTTTTTCAGCAGAAATTCGAAAGCAAAGGCTTATTGAGAAATATAAAAATCTCAAGGTATATATTCAATGCCTCATTCTGTCCTTGAACTTAATGATTTCCATGAATGATATTCGGTATGTACTTAGTTTTTTTAAACTGATTGATAATGTAATGCAATGGTAGGCATCCGGCAAGCTTGAATCTTTCCTTGAGAAAAGGAGAAGGAAGAATGCTGCCAAGGATCACAGATACATGCCATATCGTAGGCCTAATGATGTTGAGCAACAAAGTTAGTGGATTCACGATAATCTGGTCGCTTGGAGTTGTATGTACATTGTATTCCATCTGATGCGGTAAAGACATGCTCTCCTTGAGTTGTTTTGTGGGGTCTTCACTTTTCAGTGCCATGACATGCACCTGTCTGAACATTCTACATTTTTGTCTTTCATGATGTTGCTAAAGTGGAGGTAGAAACCATACCTTAACTTTCATAATTTAGGTTCTGTTCTAGGCTAAATTTTTCGACTTTTATTATTTATCAAGTTACTCAACTTCCTTTCATGAAAATGGCAGGCGAAACTTGTTTATATCTTTTGATATCAGTTTCCTTGCATGCAGTGTGGGTTCGATATGTAGTGCAATAACCTACCATTCAAGAACTAATTAAATTAAATTTTTGTTTTTTATTTTTTTTTCAAATGTTATCTGGAAATTAGAATTAAATTGTAGGCATACATAACGCAAATTTTGTTTTCACAATTGCTAGCAAAATTGGTAAAGCAATTTTTTCGTGGGGCAGGGGGATTGAAATTAAATGAACTAATAGTTCTGAAAAGAAAAATGAAACAAAAATTAGAGTGAAGCTTTTACGGTAGAATTACACTTTGTAGTTTGTACATGCCCATTGTTTGAAGTTCAGATGGCTGAAAATATAACCGGATTTCACTCTTCTTCCATAGGCCAAATGCCCATGGTTTTGACATATAATCCTTATAAAGGAAAAGCATTGGTGTTTGTGTATCTTGTGGGGTTTGTTCCAAAGCAATGAATATGCTTCATCAAGAGAGAATCAGATTTACCAGCTGGAAAGCTTAACTTGCCAGAAGTGTTGCAATATGCAGCCCACAGTATGTACGAAAAAGGACATTAATGAATGGTCAGTGGGTATAAATGGTGGACTAAATGTTTCATTAATGTCTAGGAAAAACAAGAATATGGTGGGTCGCAGATGACAGGACAGGAGCTTCCACTGCCACTCTTTTTGGTTAATGAAGTCTTGATATCAGACACCTGTACCATGTCATGTGATATGCTAATCTTGGAAAATCTCATTTTTTACCAACTTGGGAAAATCTTACTCTACCATCAAAATAAGAAAAAAAATTATTCATTTATCTTAACAAAATAATAATAATAAAGACAATTTGAATTTGTTACAAAATTTAAGTAAAAAAAGCAATATTTATTTTAAGACAGATGAAACAAATTAGTTGCTAAAATATTGACAGCTTTGATGTTCATTTGTAATACTCTGAATCTCATATTTGGATTAAATTGTGAGTATAATTAATATATAAATGTATAAACTAATTATTATTAATTATTTACATTTAAAATTTTAAAAACTCATGTGGTGGTCAAAAAATTATTAAACATTGATAAGTTTTAATCCAATTTGCTTCATCAATAAATGTTAGTACTAAGAAACCTTGGCCTATATTTGGTGATCTTGATCTACTCTAATTGCTATCTCTAGTTGAATTTTCTTTAGTCTATCATGTGTTTTTATTACCGAGATGAAAATCTTTCATGTAGATGCCGTATGGTTGTATTTTAATTAAACAAATTTTGCTGAGTTCAAAAAAAAAAAAAAAACCTTGTGCCTATAACTTGTGTGTTCACTGCATAAGTGTTCCATCGATATCACCAGAATTCAACTCCTTTATATTCCCTTTCTCCCTTCCTAAACGCCCCAATTTCTCTAAGCTCCATTTATATATGTATGTATGTATGTATATATATATATATGTGTGTGTATATTAGTACTAACAAAGCTGATGCATTCCCTCGTGCGGTTGCAGTGGCAATCACATTTTTTCAAAGTGAAAAGCAAGTGGAACGCACTTCGATTTGCACGTCGAGTACCAGATTTGACTTTTTTCGAACAGATACTAACCTAACACTGTATTTTTTCTTGTCAAAAAAAAAGAAAAAAAAAACTAAGCTGATACCATTGCAGAAGAGGATTGTACTTGATCCAACATCTTTCATAAAGATAGAAGCCACATTGGTGAATGAAAATTACACATGGATTGAACATGACTGTACACGATTGGATGCAAATAACTCTATCCCTAAAAGAGCCACTGAACCAGAACTCAGGGACACTTCCCGTTGAAGATGCATTCCTTCTTAAAAAACAAGAGGTTCAAGGGCAATTCAGAATTGTTTTAGCCTTTCTCTAAATTTACTTGGGTAAATCACAAGAGAGTCTAAACAGATACCGCCTTTTGTATGCGTGCAATCGATTTGAGTCATGGAGAGCTTAATCTTTGTTGTTGAGCTAGAGTTTCCAACAACAAAGTCCCCCACATGGTAGTGAATCCATTTCCCGGGATCACTCAAAGTGCACTGAGATGCAGCATACTGACCATCTGAAGTCCATAGCTGAAACCGCACGGGTTTAATATCCCAACCATGGACATGCTCCGTGTTGCAGATTCTGTGTCCAAACCTCTTAAAGGCACGCCCCAACTGCAGTCTGAAGAATATGCTGTACGTGCCTGCTGGGAATGGGAACTCTATCTCACTCTCAACTTCAAACCACCAGATTTGGTGAAGATACGCAACAGAAGAGAACCTAGTATGCCAAAAAAAAGGACCTTGAAATCAATTTATAGTGCTCCATTTCAGTACATAGGTGAACGAATGAAGACACAAAGCATATATTTTGTCAGACAGTTATAAAATCCGTAGATTGCATACACTCAACATGAGAACTTGAGGATCAGACCTTATGATTCTCATATAAAAAATAATCAATACAAATAGCCAAATGTGTAAATCCACAAGATGAAAAATAATGGACGGGAGCCAAATAAATCTGCTTTTACCCTGAAACAACTGGAGTGGCTGGGATTGAGGAACTTGGAAGTAGTCAAAACCAGTGACAATCCAGGAAATAATTTCCATTGTAAGAAAGCAGCCTGGAGAGACATAAGGGAACTGAACCCCTCTCATATAATTTTGCCATGCAACAGCTTGACCATTCAGTAATAATCAAGATGCACAGAACACATTAAAAATCCAGTAAGAAGATAACAAAAAGAGCATACTTTGGATCATTTCAGCAAGAAAATGCCCCGATCACTCGGACTTTGATCAGCCAATCTAAAAGATTCATGATAAGAAACTATCCAAATTGGTTATGCAAACCAAAAAGGGAATTGTTGTGGCTCACCTAGATTCCTCAGTAGGAATATGATTCCAGTATCTTCGATCATCAATTCCTGTTATTGATAATCCCTTTGCAGAAATGGACAAACAAACACCGCCTGTGCTCTTGTCCAACCATACTATCTGGAAACACCAAAAAATTCTCAAAGCTGTCAATCTATAATGTAAATCAACAAAAAAAAATGAAAAAAAATGCAAACTTTGTATTGAAAAAGGAAAAGGCTTATATGTTAAGCTTGATGATGTTTTCCATTTGGCCCAAAAACCAAAGGTGGAAGTAAGGTAAGGAGCTAAATCTCAAACTTGAATCTATTCACCTTTCTTTTATCTTAAACAGAAGAAAGAAAATTTGCAATTGATGGTAAAACTACAGAGCTATCCACCCAAAGAAAAGAAAAACACAGTTGCCTGTGTCTAATCAAATAAGATAGCTAGAACCCCCATACCTTGGTGCCGCCATCTAAAGTGTTAGCTTTGCAAAGCCTCTCATAGATGTCTCTCTTACCCCACGTTTCAGGAAGATAACCAAAAACTTTTCCAACAAGAATCTGATAATTGGGAGGTAATTTTTCTTCCCAGACAAAATCAGCCAAGGAAGCACCTCTAAACGCTCTGTTCAGCCTTGCCAATTTGCATATCTCTGGCGGATCTAAATACCTAATAACCGAAGCTACACAGCTCTCCGGCAAGTCCCCCAAACTGGGTCTCACCGGCAATTGAGAAAGAGATGACTCGTCTTCACCGGTGAAGAGAGAAGAGAAACCCGCACCCATTAAGAGAAAACAGAAAGAAACAGAGTACCAGAATGTTCTATAGGAAAAATAAAAAAAATGAATCAAAGATGGGAAGAAATAGAGAGAAGAAAGAAGAGGTCAGAGGGGTGGCAAAGGCAGTCGGTGGGATACTTTAACAGACGGCCGAATCCATTTTTGAGGTTTGTTGGTTTTGTCTGTTTTGTTTGTTTCTTGAGAAAAGAGACGGTAAGCTGACGCCAGAGTTTGGTGACATTTTCCTTTCGCTTATTAAAAGAGATAATTCCAGGTTTTGGACTAAGGAATTTTTGGTTGGCTTGAACTGAAAATCTGTGGAAAAATTCAGCAGCTATATATATTTTATAAACTTTTGATGAATGAAAAGGTCTTCTATAGTCGAGGCCCTCATACTACAAAGCACTAATGAATATTGTGTTATTTGATATTGAAAGTCATTTTTCATTAGATGATTTTTATTTTATAATTTATATTAGTTTAGATTGTAAAATAAAATTTTTATTGAAAAAATAAAAAATAAATAAATAAAAAAGTTAATGCTTGTCAGCCTTACTTCCCAAAAATTAAGAGAAAAAATGACAAATATCACCTTAATGCATGCTTTAAAAAGTTATTGAAATGATATAATTTTAAGATGATTTTTCTTCATAATCTCTAGCAAGTAAGGTTAACATGAACTTTTTTCCATAAATAAATTAGATTTATTTGAAACATAAAATAGGAATTATAGGATTTAATTGTCAAAGTCGACCTTTATATTCCCATGTAAGTAAGAATAAGAAATCTTCCTTGAGAAGACATGGGGTCTAATATGGAGTATGACATTGGGGGATTAGATTGGACAAGGTAAAGAATAAATCTAGAGAGGATTGGATTAGACAAGGGTACAGGAAAATGTGGCCATTTAAGATTGTCTGAATATTAATATTAATTCTTATTTAATTTTTTAACTTTTAAGAAAAAAAAATTGGGTGAAATTTTAATGTTATTGTTAACGATATTCCAATTTTCACTTTTTTTTTTTTGTTAAAGTATTTTGTGAAAACAATGACAGAAGAAAGGGGATTTAAATATCCAATTCTTTGGTTTTAAATACCTATGAAAGGTGACTAGAAATGCAAGAAGTGCTTTGATTTTGGAGTTCGGTATGCATATTGACAAAAAAAAGAAAAAAGACATTTTAGTATTAAAATTATCAAAATATCACTTAAGTAATTTGGCAGTTGCTTATTACTATACAATTAATATAAAAAAATTAAAATATTTAATTGTAATTATTAAATAGATAAAATACAATATAAATATAAATTTATTAAATTTTATTATATAACTATAAAAGGTTACAAAAAAATCAAAACATTCTGATACTCAAAACATACATCATAATAATTGATTCCGTAGATCTTAATTAAGAATTCACTTATTTAACTATTGTAATAAATATCTTGATACTAACACATCTTGATTTTTTATTTTTTTAACTATAATTAAACATCTTAATATTAAAAAATATGAAATCGTTTTAATTTTTTAATGTAAATTAATATTCTTTTTGGGTTTTGTTTTTTTATTTTCTCTGCTGTTGGGTTTGTGGTCTGCAATGCATATTTATCAACTAAACATTGGTACGGGCGGTTGATGAGATGATGCTGACCAGAAAATTCATCACAGAAAAAACTTGTGGTCCTTCAAAGTTTTTTTCAATGTCTCTATCATAAATAAATTATAATTTTTTTTATTAATAGTAAATAAACTAGGACCCATGAGTGTTACACATCTCTATTTTATTTTATACTTTCCCTTCTCTCTTTATTTATACTTTTCTTTTTTATCCATAAGCAACATCATCTGACAACTCCTTCCCATAAAGAATTTTATGGTTAATTGTTCCCAAAATTTTCTCATTAGAAAATTAGTGATATTAAAATCTAATCCAATGACTATTTTCTCATTTAACTTCAGTTCAAAAAAAATCCAATGACTATTTTCTCTAATTCATACCATAGATATATTAAGGCATCTATGGTATTATTTAATTTGACTATTAGAATAATAATGGTTGTTAATTGATTGTTGATAAAATAATATATATATTTATTTTAAATAATTATGTTCTAATAATAATATCATATAAATTTATAATTTTATAATTGTAATATTATGATCTTAAATGAATATAATGTGATGTTAAATAAATATATATATAATATTAAAGGTAAATTTTTAAATTAAAAAATTAATTATATGATAATATATCATATTTTATATTTATAATATCTTGTAATATTATAATTACAATATTTTTTATTTTTAAATTATTTAAAAATAATTTATAAAAATACGTTTTCAAACATTAAATACTAACTATTTAGGGAAAAAAACATAAACGGATAAAATTAATAAAATTCAACACAACCTAAATTTTCTTAGCAGCCAAACAAGTGGATATGGCGAACCTGACATTTGACTTCAAATTAGTTAATGGAGAAAATTCATGCGTGGACCAATGACAAGGTGTCCAATCAGCACAAAAAGTACATCTATGTCCACGTGTATCTGAGTCAGCATGTAATTTTTTATATTATATTTTTATATATTATTAAATAAATAAATATATTTAATATCATAAATTTTATATAAATTAAAAAAAAAAATAATTAAAATAAAAAAAAAAATAAAACAAAAAAAAAAAAAAAAAAATTATTTCAAAATCTTTTTTTTCCGATCACAAAAACGGGGGGCGTAAGCAACGGCCACGTCGGAAACACATGTCAAGTGTTCAGGAGATGAAACTTTTCCCATTTGGATAAGGCCTAAAATAAAGAATTGAATTAAATACAATCTGTAAGTGCTATTAATTTGCGAATCTAGAGAAAAAAAAAATTGTTTAATGGCTAAATGAAAAAGATTGATCATTCTTTGGACACCACTATTGGATAATTAATCTATTTCTTCCAAACTTTTAATAAGCTGTCATCAACCAATATTATTTTTTGCACCTGACCCTTTAAATCAATTGATAACTTGCTAATTTAAAGTACATTTCTCCTTTTCCATGGATATGGTTCGAACCCACCCATTGACAATTTGTTCAACAAAAAAAAAACCAACATTACTTTTTAAAAGACTTATTATTGAAGTTAATACCTAAAACAATTTGTGAGTCAATGATCTAATGTTATAGGGTGGTGATCTTCATCTTTTAAAAGTTAGAGATTTTATGTATATAGAAAAGTAAAAGATTGATCATTCTTTGGACACCACTATTGGATAATTAATCTATTTCTTCCAAACTTCTAATAAGGTTTCACCAGCCAACATTACTTTTTAAAAGATTTATAATTGAAGTTAATACCTAAAACAATTTGTGAGTCAATGATCTAATGTTATAGGGTGGTGATCTTCATCTTTTAAAAGTTAGAGATTTTATGTACATAGAAAAGTAAAAGATTATAGAGTGTTGTCTTACAATTTTATAATTCACGTAAGAAAAGGAAAAAATTAAGGAACTAGTGATATTATAAGTTTTGTCTTCAAAAAAATGGATTGGTTTTATTAGTAATCACTCAAGACTTGAAAAAAGATGTAGATAATAATACAAATTTTGTTTTTTTTTTTTAATAAAAGATATAAATTTTTTTAGTTTTTAAATAAGATAATAAATTTTTGATTTTTTATTTAAAAGTATCCATTTAAAATTTTATTATTTAAGTATATTAAATTTGTGATTTTTTGTTTAAGGATTAATTATTAAATAGTGATACTGATGTAGTAAAAAGTTTTTTAAAATCATAATTAATTTTTAATTAAAAATATAAAATTAACATCCTTATATAAAAAAATTAAAAATTTATTATCTTATTTAAAAACTAACCAAACTTACATATTTAACTAAAAAAATATTACAAAGTTTATATCATAATGCACCTTTTCTCCTCAAGACTTAGAACAATTACAAGAATTCATGATGAAGAAAGATAAGTAAGAACAATAAAGTGAATAGGTCAATTTCATGAACCCAATAAAGTATGGCTTTGCTTGTCTTTTTATCTTTTCTAAGGCAAAAGCCATGCCTTCAACTGCAGTTTCTGTTCTGATGGTAACTAGATGAATAATGAGAACAGTTTTTAGTGAGGTGGGTAACAATCATTTTCAAGTCCTTCTATTCTCATTTCTCAACTACCATTCAAAGAACAAATATACGTCCATAGTTACTGCTGCCTTAATGATTCTTCAGTGGTTTTTTTTTTTTTTTTATTTCTCCCATCTTTTTCATGATTAGGTTTCCAAATTTCCCGAGTTGTGAATTGGAGTTTGGTATGCCTTATCCACCAATTAATGCCTAGGCAGCTAAATCTCAGTATGAATAAGTCATTTTCTAAGGTAGAATACTAACATTGGCTCAAGATTAGTATTTTTCAAAGGAAAAAAAAATATACCTTGTGTTAGAAAGTTCACTTGGTGAAACAAAATATCTGAATTTGATGATCAAAGGGTTTTTAGTGTGCCTCATCAATGGCTAGGCCATAAATCTCAGGATCAGCAAGTCCTTTTCTAGTGTGACTTGCTAATATTGAGACAGTATTATTATTTTCAAACATCTTTAGACAAAAGAGGCGAAAAAAATCTTCATGTTAGAAAAGTTCATTTGACGAAAGAAAAAATCTGAATTTGATCTCCCAATGGGTTTTTATTGTGTACTGTATTGGTGTCTTCAGCTGAAAATGAAGGAGTGAGGGAGAGAAGAATTGATATATAAATTTTGATGCAGACGTTAGCGGCAAATTAAAGGTGTTTGTACTCTGTAGGACACAGACAGCATGCAATGTCATTTTCTATATCCTTACTGTAATACACTTCTGCAACTGGCTATGGTATTTTGTAGTCAACAACTATTTTTCTAGCATGTTAATCACCTCCCCTGGATGTTCATTCCCCTTTATAATTTTAAAAAATTAAAATAATGTCTGCTTTAGTGAAGCAAGCACCCTGAATATCATTCTTTTAATGACAACCATGTGAAGTTGATGGAAATGTTCACCTAATTTTGTAGGTATCTCTGTATATAATATCTGATTCAATTTTTTTTTTTTTCTAAAATGTTGAAAGAGAACATTGGTTGATCTGAAAGAATGGATCAAGTGGGGCTTTTGTGTTGTGTAATATGTCAAGAGGGCATGAAAATGAAATTTGAGAATTATTTTTGACTAAATATGAGAAGGGTGTTCTATTGATCTCATACATGTTTTCCTTGAAGAAGTTTTATAATGCCTTCGGCTATAAGGCCTAGATATTGGAGAATACTGTTTTGTAACATGAGAGGAGAGTTACTAGACAGAAAAGGTGTCAAGTGTCTAGAACAGTTCACCGCCCTTCCTGCACCATTGTGTGCTAATTTTTTGGCTTCAGCATAAGAATTGGAGTTCAGTTTCTTCTTGGCTCTGGGAAAATCATATTTCACTGCAAAACCATAATCAGCCACGCATAGTTCCACAGCTTTCTTGGCACGTCGATCACTGATTGCATCCCTTAGCCTTTGAAAATAGTTGCAAGTATCAGTCGCATTGGCTATGCAAATATCAAGTATGATATATGCAAGCTCTTTGACACTGGTAGCTTTTAAGCTACGAGAATCTGTTCTCAAAAATGCAACACATATGTCAGGCTCCTCATAAGCCTTCCGGCAAGTGTCTTCAACTAGGTTCCTGGATTCAGCGGAGGTAGAGACTTGGTATCTGGCAAAGAGGATGAGCAAAACTACCAAACATGAAAAAGGAAGGATCTTAGGATTCATTTTCTCTAGTGAAGTTGGAGAACTCTGTAAAATTTGTTGCTAACAACATGAACAATTGTATGGTTAATTATAAAAGAAGACACCAAGAGACAAAGATTGCTGCAAAATATGACCAGATTTCTTTCCCGTTATATAGCTCCATAGTCTTGACGTGCATTCCTTAGATACGGCTGCAAAAGTTTATATACCTACCAGATTTCTTTACTGAATTCCAATTTTCCTACCCAACTTTTACCAACTTTTAACAGTTAATATATCAAAAACGAAAAAATCTGAAATAGACACAAATCAATGAAATATTTCACATAGAATTCTAGTAATTTGAAGGAACAACAAAATGAACATAATGATGTAAGTGACAGAAATGTATTCCATTCATAATACATAAAGAATCAAAGAATAAACGCAAATTGAATCTGAATACTACAGACTGAAGCTAGAATTCTGGCCTGAAAAAGAATTGAAAACTCAGTATGAAGAAGCTACTATCTGACTGACAAATCTTATCTGCAAGAAAAGAATGAAAGAATTGTAGTGACAGATTCTCTAACTACAAAAGAATTCTATATCCTTTTCTGTATGCAAGAATGGTATGGAAAGTATTTGAATGTATGAAGAAAAAGAAGTCTGCTGCAGCAATCAATCAACTTGGCTGAGAAAATGAGTTGAGCTGCCTGCAACATCAACTGGTGTCCAACCTGAGACTGTATAAAGTGGCTGATCTAACCAACTTAGAGTAAGTGCCGCACCATCCTGCCCTTGCTTCTTTACACTGTAGTTGTCGTATGAGTACATCTTCAAAAGCATTTGGCTCTGAAGCAGTTCCCTGTCCTGGATCCCCACACATCTAAATCCTCCTTGCTCCATCAATTTCCTCCACTTCTCCAAACCCTCATGCCTCTCAAGCCTGTCGCTTCCTTCGCAAGCAATGATGTTCCTAATTTCACTCGCAAACATCTCCTCTATCTTGATCCTAACCGGACTGTCTAAAGGAAGGCTAGAATCAATTGAGTCAAATATGGCAGAGTAGTATCTCAATGAATTGCAGACTCTTGTTTCCAAGTTGGGGACATTGTGCTCTGCTTCCTGCTCTGCCATGATGACTACTGAAGGATTTGTGCTTCGGATCAGTCCCAAAAAGTCCCAAAGTGCACCTCCATTCCCGTCATAGAGCATCTTGTGCAGTTGAAACATACAGTTTACTGCTACACTCTCCTTCTCCTTAACATGAAGCATCCATAGCCTCACATCCTCCAACCTGTCCACAACCGGATGGAACTCAAAAGGCAAATTCAATGCCTCAGCAAATCCCGCAAGCCTGTCCCCCGTTTCATTTAGCTCTTGCTTGGACTCACCAATGCCAGTTATTCTAACATGGTGTGGAGGATTGGTCCTAGAAGCCAAACTCTGGAACAGGCTAGGCCACTGTAGCCCTTGCTTGATGTCAAAGTCTATGATGTGAACCCTGTCTTTCCCCTCGAAGGCTCTCAACAGTATCTCATTCGATGTGAAATGAACAAACTTTGGAATCGGGCTTACCTGATTCAAAAGCCTCAATGCTGTCCCGTTGTCATCCTCCACACGGTCAAGCTCTCGAGGAATAGTAATGTGAAAGATAGAAGGCCAAAGCCTTGTGACTCGAAGAGCCAGAGCTTCAGTGTAGTAAGCTGTTAAACGGCTTATGGGACTTCCTCTTGGAGAAGCAAGATCCCCTAGCTTAGCCATGAAGTGGTTGATTAAAGCAATGTTCTTCGACCCAATTGCTTCAACACAAGCTGTGAGAAGGCTGACAAGCTCAAACCCCTGATGCTCTCCACTGTTGTTGTGCTCCTGTCCGGCATCCACACTGGTGCCTTCATGTGGGCGAGGATTCCCTGAACCATTGCCAACTTCATGCTCCATGGCATTCTTATTCAACCTGAGCCCCAAGCTATGGCTGTCTGACGAAGTGCTTGACCCTGGAGCTTCCTGTTGCACCTTCTGAATGCTTTCAACGCCCTTTTCACCTGAGCCTGTGATTTCTGTAATGACCGATTCGAGCAAGGGATTGTTGGATGGTGGCAAAGGCAGCGAGATCATTTCAGTTGGCACAAAACAAATCCTGTCTTCATCCCCAGAACAAGTCAGGGAGAAAGGAAGTTGAGAAGTATTTTGGCCCGTGAAACCTGGCTGAAACCAAAAATTCCCTGTACCCAATTGGTCCAACTTCAAACCATCATCGGAATTCCCTTTATCACCGCTACCCTTCTTCCTCTTCGCCCTGTCCATGCAAGATTCATCAACCAAACCCTGCTCTGCCAACCTCTTCAAACTCTTACCCTTCTCCCAAAACTCATCCTTGATCTCTCTCCTTCCTTCAAATGTCGACTGTGCACTGGTTGCCAACGGCGGTAGCCGGATGTTCTGCTTGAGAGAACAGCTGCTGGTCTTGGTTTCAATCGGTTTCTCCACAGAAAGTCCAACTGGCCTAACGGGCTGCGACCGCGAAGTGTCCTTCCGAGCGAAGCTACGCGGCAAGTCCAATCTTTGTGTCTTCATCGGAAAATGGCAAGCTTGAAACTGTGCTGATGCTTCACCCCTCAGTCTATCCCTCGGCGACAGTAATGTAGAACTCGAACACCCAGCCAACATTTCTCTGTAACCTTCCTATTTTCCCTTTTTTGTTCTTTTCTGCTCTATTTCAATTCACCCACCCCCTGTTTTCTCTGTTTCTTTCTCTATCTCTCTGCTTTATATGAATCTTGAACTATGAAATGTTTGATTTAGATGTACAAATTCACCTATATCTTTGCTTGTGTAATTGAAAAGAGAAAAATCTCAGAGAGGTAGACTAATTAATTGTATCTGTGTGTGAATAGTCAACAAATTTAAATGGAATCCGATGAATAATACAGAAACAGAGTATATATCAGAGGTGATCCTATATGAACAAATCTTGGTGTATGAAATTAAAGAATGACAGAAAATGGTAAAACCCCACCCCTAAAAGAATCAAAGAATTGAAGACTAAACTAACTAAAACGCCTACAAGAAAACAATCATCGGATTCCTAAACACTCACAGAGAACTCATGACAGAAGGCTATCAACAATGTAATCAACATCATCAATGGAAATGGAAACACATACTTTCACAATTTGGTACCTCAAAACTTGAGAAACTTTGAGACCCAGAACAGCATTTGAGATGTTCAACAAGTCCATGGTAGCTGAAACCGGAATTCAGAGCAAAATCCCCGCACAACCCCAGCTTTGAAAAACCCCTAAACATGCATGAAAAATGGAACAGAAACCCAATCACCAACAACAAATTAGAGACATGCCCTCTCTCAAACACTCAATACGTACCCAAAAGAACCATAGACCATACTCAGATTATGTTTTTATATACTAAAAGTCTAAAGCCTTTTTTTTGTTCATGTTCTTCTCCCTGCCCCCTAATACTACTAGTCTAGTACTAGTACACTACACTAGACTATACCTTCTCTTTCACTGCACGTCCCTCTCATTGCTTTTTCTGTGTCCATTTACCAGCATTTGGAAAAAATTGATGGCAGAGAGAGTGAAAAGGAGGGTTCCAGAAGAGCAAGGAAGCTTCGTTTTTGAACCGTTGGATCTCGATCATACGGCCGAGAATATTAGTCCTAGTGACCGTTGGAGGGTGTCGGTGAATTATGACCGTTGGAGAGGGAGTTGGTGTAGGCGCAGTGCATGTAATTTCCGGTGGAAAGAAAGAGAAAAAAAAAAAAAAAAATCTCTTCTCCCATTCCGGAATCCACGTGGCTGGTTTCTGATGCTCCGTTTTATTTGACCGTTGCATTTTACAGCACAATTATTTTACTGTATTTTATTCGGCCTTTTGTGTTCATCCTTTTTTTTTTTTAATAAATAATGACAGGTTGTATTATAAAATAAAAATAATTTAGAAATAATTTTTTAATAATTTGTTAATAATTTTATATATCAATTAAATAATTGATTAATTTTTTATTCATTTAAAATTTATGATTTTAAGTGAATTTATCATTAAATGATATATATAAATTATATAAAAAATTATTGTTATATCATTGTTATTATAAAAATTAAATAAAAAATTTAAAATTATATTATTGTAATAAAATTTTATTAAAAAATTAAAGGATTTGTCTACCTTATATAAAAACTATCATAAATACATCTTTTTACAATTAATTTATATAAAAAATAATAAAAATTAATTTTTATTTTAATATTATTGTCACGTATTAAAAAATTAAAGGATT